AGTAAATAAAATCAGAAAATTAGGGTTAGGCAGGACCTCTGGAAGTCATCTAGTCTAATCACTTCCTCAAAGCAGGACCATCCGCAACTAGATTTTCCCAGCCAAAGCTTTGTCTAGCTGGGTCTTGAAAACCTCCAAGGATGGCGCTTCCACTACCTCTCTGGGTAATCTGTTCTGGTGTTTTACTGCCCTCCTAGTGAGCACATCCTTCCCTACACCCCATATACCCACATAACTACAGCCCCCCCAAACCTATACCCCCAACAATATACAAAAGTAAAACTTTATTTTAAGCTATTGTGCAATCACCTCTATCTACACTACGCAAACACATATAAATCAGGACAAAAATATTTTTTTTAATCAAATTAATGGATGTTATAGATATTTGCTTTTTAGAATATAATTTGGTACTTTTCTGGTTCCAAGATGGCAAAACCCCTTGCTGAAAAGAGAACTTCCAGGGGCAAGGAGAGGGACTTCTGGTGGTAAAGGTCAGAGGTTAGGGGGTAGGCCTTCTGGTCAAGATTGCAACCAGGGGGGTGGGGCACCTATCAAGAGGCAAGGCTACCCTCGACAGCTTGCCAAAACTTGGTAAGCAGCCTTCCGCCCAAAATAATTGCCTGCCCCTATTCTAAGTAAATCAATTCTCATTGCTATAACTGTGTGGACTGGAAATTGACTTTTAAATTACATAAATAAAAGCCCAAATCAAAAATGTGCTTATGTCAAACTGCTGAATCCAATATACACTCAAAAAAACTACTTAATGAAATTTCAATAAACCTTGATTCAAAGAAGTTTATTAGCTTGGTAATGAAAAACAATAACTAACTTAAGGCAGAGGTCAACAGCGGTTTGGCCTGGAGTGCCAAAAACACCCCAGCCTCAATACATGCCTTGACTTGGCATGCCAGAGACAGACATGGGGAGTAGGTGGTGCAGAGCTGTGAGGGAGTTCGATCCTTGTTGCTGGTGACAGGTGTATGGAAGAAGGTGGTGTAGGCCCTGGTCCTTTCCCCACCATGCACCCTGAGGTGCACGTACAGCCGCTGCTGGCCTTGGAGCCTGGGCTCACAGAAGGAAGCAAACAGGCTGCAAACAGGCTGCACCGGGGTCCAGAATCCCACTCCCATTCCCTGGCCAGTGGTGGCTGCACGCATGCCTCAGCGCGCACAGCAGGGAAAGGGCCATGGTAGCAAACCTGCGGCCCCTCCCCTACAAGCAACATGCCGGGCAGGGGCTTTGCAGACCTCAATTCAGTGGCTTGCAGCCTCCCACCTGCCTGCCACAGCTGGCCTGGGCTCTGGGCAGGCCCCTGCTGTCCTCCGTGGAACCTGGGCTGCTCACAGCAGGCAGCAGGGAGGCTCCAAACAGCTGCACTGAGGTTGGCTGACTCATTGCTAGCAGCAGCTGCACATGAATCTCCAGATGGAAAGCCAGGCAAAAGCCAGGGTTGCACTGCCCTGGCCTCTTCCCTGCCATGCGCCTTTAGGCTTAAGTGCAGCCACTGCCAGTGCTGGGGCTCCACAGCCTGGTGCAACTGTTTCCAACCTCTCGGCTGCCTGCCACATCCAGCCAGAGCTCTGGGCAGTTGCTCCCAGCCACAGAGCCCAGGCTGCCTGCTGCAAGCAGCCTCAGCTCCATGGCCAACACCACCTGCCCAGAGCCTCGGCCAGCTGTGATATGCCAAGCAAAATGGCTTCACGTCCCATGCTCTGGCATGTGTGCTGGGGGTTGCAGATCCCTGACTTAAGACAAAAGCTAGATAAAGTCCCCTACTGCAAAGAAAAGCAAATCCCCAAGCATCTTACAGATCACTGAACAAGAGCTGTCCTTGTATAGGCTTACAAATTCCAACTAAGCCAATTTAAGGCTGGTTTTGAAATCTTATTGGTGGTAGCACCAGTTTTCAAACCTAATTTACTTATATCAAATCAACAGTGTTTTAAGCCAGGCCAAATCCTAAATTTCCCATCTCTTCAACATTCCATCTGCTTCCCCTAATTTCTTTCTTGGCCTATAACAACCTTGTAGGTCCTGAAGGTGAATCCAGGACTTCTGCCATTAGAACAAGATGCAACCTAGCCAACTCAAGCAACTATCGCATCCTGGCCCATAAAAAGCCTACTAGACATAAACCAATTAGCAGAAATCCCCTGCTGCTGATGCAAATTGGTCTGTGGAGAGTTTAGGACTTGGAATGTTTCACTATTTAGTACTGCACTCTCTTCCATAAAGCCAAAGCAGCCCACTCCATCAGCATTCCAGCCAAATAACCCATGTTGTCCTATTCATATTTGTGTAGAGAATTAAAAATACATATCTACCCTGACTCCCTGTTCAAATACAAGCCAGGTAAAATGGCAGAAGTACTGAGGGCTGATTTGGCACTTGAAATGTACTCCTTATAAAAAACTATTTGGACTTCAGGTTAGCAGAATACTATTCAAGTTGTGTCAACGAACAAAGTTTTCTGCTAAAAACGTCAGCTTTTGGTGTTGTACCGTTCAATTAACTGGAACGACAAAAGGCTAGGCAAAAAAAATGTGATTATGGCTTATTTTATGCATCCCACATGCTATCCAGTTTGGAAACAGCCCTACTATCTTCACTGATGCTGCATCTGCTTACAGCATCGCTAACTCACAAGATCAAGGCCAATATGGCCAATATGTTTAAATGATTTACAGCTACTTAATAAGCAGGAGAGCCTATAATGACCACTATATGCTTCTGAATTTTGTTAGTTTAAAAGCCTACTCCAAGTTTTTGAAAACATTGCCACATCAAACTAGTTTAAAGCCTGTTTGGACTTTTGTCTTCCATTAAAAAAATCCATGCCAAGTGCCTAGCCAGGGAAGAAATCTTATTTTGTTATACTCATTTCACTAAAAACAAATGTTGCTCTTTAACTACGATCTGCTTCATTTAATTTTGCAATGGAGAAACAAAAAAAAAAGGGTAACTATTCTAGTTTACTTTCAGCTTTCCTTCTTCTGGGTGTCTATACCAATCTACACATAACGCTATGTACAATGATTCAGGTAACATAAATATGTTCTCAAAATCCAATGAACATTAACAATAATGCTCTCTAAGTTTTTAAAATCCCATCTGTAATGACACAGAGGTAAGAAAGTTACTTTTTGCAACCCCAAAGAACCCCGAGTACAAGGTAGACTAGAAGATTGGTGGCAAAGTAGCAGTTCTGGAGAAAAGTGGAAAACCACTAAGAAAGTCAAAGCAACCAAAGGTCAAACAAATGGAGAGAACATGCAAAACAAAGTAAATAAAAAATGAAGGTATGAAGAAAAATTGGTAATGAACCTTATTATTTGATTAGCTTAGTATATTTCACACAGTGAATACTGCTCTTCAGTTCAAATACTTATCAGTGGGCCAAGCTTCTGCAATAGTAGATGGAACTTGACAGAGGGTAAAAGGTACTCTGAGGATTTATATAAAAAATTGTATTTTAAAACCTTTTGAATTTATTAATATGAAATTACACAACAATTCCCAACAATCTGCCTTACCTTTTGAAAGTGCAAGTGAATGACAGTAACCACAAGCTACTTGTACTATTTGTATCTCTGATAAACTTTTGATATTTCTATGGGAAAAAAAGAGAAAGCATTAGACCACTGCATCTAGGTATTGTGACATACAAGATGAAATCTGAAAGAGGAACATAAAAATACTTGTCAAACTTTTCCACTAGCATGTGGTTGAAGCTAGAGTAAATTTTATGAAACAGACTTTATTCAAAATCATAAATTACAAGATATTAAACCAAAGTTCTTATTAACTGGAGTCCACAGAAATTACCAAGACTTATTAATACCAAAGAAGTCCCTTGAAGAACAAAGGTGTTTAAGTGACAATAAGAATATCATAGTACAGGACTGGGAAACATTAAAGGAAGAGGTTAAAAGCAAACAAACAAACAAACCCTCCTCCCTACAAACTTGTCGTGCTCTAGGTCTAAAGATATAAAAAATTTATTCCTCACCACCCTAAAACAATAGAGTGGATACATCAGGACTCCTCCTAAGCAGTCCTAAAAGAACATCAAGACACAAGGATTACATTGTCTTCCCCTAATCCTAACTTCAGGGGGAAATTAGGCAGAGTTGGCTAGGGACAGACATTACACATAAACTGGCTTAAGTGATTAGAAACTGATTTAAACCTGTAAAAGAACAGATGTTCAGTGCACATAACTCAGTTTGAAAATGGCTGAAACCAGCTTGAGATAAACCGAGTTGTATGTAGTATCAGACTCAACTGATTTGGCTCAAACTGGTTTATGCAATGTCTGTCCCACACTCCTTGCTGGTTTAAGATCAACCAGAACGCCTAGCCTCTCGACATGCTCTCTGGGCTGGGCAGGGCTCTCTGTTCCGCAGCAGGGCTGGCCCCTTCCCTCTGCTCCCTCGCAGGAGCTCTGGCAGAGACTGCAGGCACAGCTGGGTTTGCCTGGCTTCCCCCTGCCCTACCCACCTCTTGCTGCTCAATCAGGAATCCTCCCACTGCCCCCGCATCTTCCACAGCACAGACCCCAGCCCTACAGACCCCAGGCATGTGGTATGCTAGCTAATGCTGAGAGGCATCTGTATGTGTGCCTCTCCAATTTCACTGGGACAGGCAGACAGAACAGTGACCACTTAGGGGTTTTTGGAGCTAATCAACAGGTCAACTGGTAAGCTGTTTAAGAAGAGTTTGAACTAATGGAGAGAAGCTATTATTTTGCTGATGGGGTGTTAAACACTGTTCTGCCCCCTGCTGGCTTGCTTGCCTGTCATTTTGCTCCAGACAGTATAAAGAAGCAGGGAGGGAGATTAAAAAGCTCCGTACCATCAATACATGCATACACTGCACACACACCCCTTCCCTCAGAGCTCTGGCAGGGGGCTGGGGTCTAGCAGCACTCCCACCCCTTGAGCAGCCAGCAGGGAAAAGCCTGGGATGCTGCAGGCAGACCCCCCTAATCAAAGTGTCTGGTTCAGGCCTAGCCACACCACCCCTCAGCTCAGCACTGTGCAAAGGGAAGGGAAGGCTGCTCTAGCATCACCCCCAGCTTCTAGCTTGAGCCACTGCAGGCATATGCCTGAATTTCCTCAGTCCAGAGACAATGTCTGTCTGGTTACAAACTGGTTCAACATAGCCAGGTTAGACTAACCTGCAAAGATTGAATCAATTCAGGCTCAGGCTTTTTGAATGTCTGTCCCTAGCCTATATGAGCCATTCATACTGTATAAGAGTCTATTTTCTATTAGTTAAAACTATAATAGATTATCATTGAGATATTTGTATAGTTAACTTGTTTTATGTCAAAACTTAATAAGTCAGAAAAATCCTGCAAACATGCAATTTAACTTTACTATTATGCAGTTATATTGATTTCAACATGTTTAAGGCAGTACTCTGAAAATACCATTCAGTTTAATAAAGGTGCTTTGGAAATGTAGAAGTATATTATGCTTATAAAACCATGTTACTTATGCAATCAGAGAGACAGTTATTTGACCACAGCTGAGAACCTTGGAGGTAAAATTACAACATGGAGATCAGATTGCACTTCCCCTGCCCATGTGACTATTTAAAGGAGTGCAAATTCCTAACAGATTACTTCACTCAAGGTGCTTTAAGCAGCATCTACCCATCTTCATTTCTGTTCTTCTAAAAACACTCTTGGAATATATACTACTCTTGGAATATATTCATCTACCAAGTGTGCCTATTATCAAGAATCCTAGAAGTGACTGGGAAAGAGGCACTGAAAAGGATAATGTGAGGTTCTACGCTGTAAAGTATCCTTATATATTATCTTTTAGAAAACTTTAATTGTTGAGAATTGTTTGCGTAATGATGTTTATACACACCTTTCAAAATAAGATGCTTACTTAGAAAAAAACATTTTATTTTTAATTTTTTTACCTGGGTACTCTAATACATTCTTCTGTTCCAGGCAAGCCAAGCTGTCCCTCAGTAGCTAGACCCCAAGCATATACCTGGCCTTTGTCATTTAATGCTAGCGTATGGGCTTCTCCACATGAAACAGATACAATATTTTGGGCATCAAGGGCACCAACATGCTCTTAAAAAAAAAAAGACAAGAAGAGGAGTTAGATTTTGATGTTATGATTAACAAACAAAAATTATTCAGTCCAGCCATTACCTAAGGCATAAAATGAAATAACACAGTATATTAATTTAGATTTCTCAATTAGAATACACACAAAATACAACATGATCATAGTGGTGCCAAGTAACAAATTTAATAAACGCAGGTGTATCTATACCAGATCTTTACTGTGGAGTTGCCTAATTAGCTCTGAAGTAAACATCTCAGCATCTACACATGTGGCCCTATGAGGCCATAGTAAAATAATAAACTCCACAACAGGACAGCACTTGTATTTACAAGTACTATCCTAGTACTAGTATTTACAAGTACTGTCCTGCTGCGGTTTTTCCATGCACAGCAATGCACATACAGACACTGACCCAGCTGGCTGGGGTACAAGGGAGCATCAGTACAGGGGCTGCCTGTTGGCTAGCCCCACACTGAAGCACCTCGTGCCCCAGCCAGTCCCTCTGCAGCACATTAAGCTGAGCTGGAGCAGCCCCAGGCTGGCATGCTGATCCCCTGGGCCTCCTACCTGCCAGGGGTGCTCTGACCTGGCTCAATGTGCTCCAATCCCAGCTGCATATTCAAACGGTGTGCCAGGAGCAATAAACTCTGGCACAATACACACTGGAGTTTATTGCTTGAATTAATTTCACATGTAGATGCACCCCCATAAAATCAATTTGCATTAAGTGAGTAAACAAACATTTCAAAAGAGAAAAGCATTCCACATATTTACTTAAGGATAATGCACAAGGCTTTTTAAGTCCTTTAAAACCCACACACAATAGGGTTGGTTCAAGACAGAGGCCACCTGACTGCAGCAATAAGGCTCCATGCATGTGGTTCTCAGAACCAATGCACAGAATGTTGTAAATCAGAGCTAAAAGGCTAAGTTCTACACTCGGGCTTCAGAACTCTGAAAAACATGCAGTAGGATTATCTGGGGACATAACACTTCATTGTTAACCTCCCATTTGGAAGCAGCTCACATGTAGGTCTTCAATGTTTGCATATACTAAATTAACACTTTTACTGATCAAGCTACATTCTATACCAGTGATTCTCAACCAAGGTACCATGAGATCCTTTCCAAGGATGCTGCAGCAGGTGACCCTTGTCCCAGGAAGTAAGAGATCAATCCTCCCCTTGCATCCTGAAGACAAGCAGCACCTGCAGCTACCCCACTCTTCGTCCCCTTACAAAAGCCAGGCACTCCCAGTCCACACTCTGTGCATGCACGCTCAGGCAAACAAGTTACATATGATGCTGTGGAGCTACACTTTCCAATCCATCCCATCCCTTCTGCTTCTCCCATTCTCCCAAGGCTGGCAGGAGAAGCTGGGGATGTGTGTAGCTCCAGTTGGCAATGTGGAAGTTACTGGTGGAACAGTTGTAATAGTATGGGCCACATTTGCCCCTTCAAGTACAGAGCAGCGCCAAGGAAGGGGAAGAGAATGGAAAAAGCAAGACACAGTGGGGTGAAGTCCTGTTTCTACTGCCCTAATCTGGCACCAGCTACATTTTAGCTAAGTAGTTCTCAATCAGGGTGATGCTAAACTCCTAAATTATGTAAGGATGCTCTCAGACTAAAAAGGTTGAGAACCACTGCACTATACACATTTGCTGCTCAATAGAAAGATATCAAATGGATTAGATTCAGGCAAAAATTAAATGTGGTATTTGTAAGTCCCTCGAAAGAGTCGTGGACAAAAGAGACGGCATTAGTAATACTAATGAAAATTGCAGTTTCAGGATGAAACTTCAGAGTAGTAGAGAAGGGCAAAGCACAGTGCCAGAACATACTAGGAAAAAAGAGGTGGCTTTCTAAAGTCATTTATTCCTTAGTAATATTTTCTAAAAATGTTTTTTATTTTGAGACTTAAGTCTGAACAGTTTGGTATGGATTTAAATTTTCTCCTGACCTGACTTAATTTTGAAGTGGCAGCAACACTGCATAAAATCCAGAAAGTAACACTAAATGAGCTTTTCTTTTCCCAAGCAAAATTAAGTTTATAAAAAAGTGAAACAACATAAATAGTAAAAGCTAAATAATGCTTTAAAAATTCAAATCATCATAATCTACAATAGTATTACCAAAAGTAGATGAGACAATGGAAGATACTTGCTTTTAATCTCTCGAGGGCAGGAAAACCACAGTAAGAACAGACAAAAAGAATGCAAGGTCAGATAAAGAGTTTTCACTAACATTTATGGACTTAGTACACAGTCATTTTCTTCCTCCAATGACCTGGATCCCTCAAAAAATTTTATTTCAAATCTCAGCAACATGAAGAGGAAAACGTCACAAAGCCTTATCATTAAAAACTAAAATTTTCAGACGTGTTCAACTAATCACATGCCTTTCTTGACATTTATTGTCAAATTTTCCAAAATGTGGAAGTCAGTGCAAGTCCTCAGCATCTCTGAAAAATCAGGTACAACATATTTGTCAGACATTAGTACTAAGAACTTGGTGTAGATGAACTTATTAAATATATGAAATGTTGCCATCTCTTGCAATTTAACTACAAGTATTCCAACATTTGAAATTGTTCTTAAAACCCCAACTGTGAATCTAAGAATAGCCCTTGTGGTTTTAGAAAAAAGTTTTTTAAAAAAATGGAGTGTAAAAGTTCAGAAGATAAAAGCAAATAAAAATAAATAATTTTTTAAAAAAACATCACAGCTTTAAGATGCTTATGATCTTTGAGCACTTGAGGTTATAGCAGTTAGAACATCCTTATAGATGAGCTAACAGATGAGCAAACTGGAGTATATCTATACTCTTAAAATGTAAGCAAAGAAGAAATGCATTCTCCTTATCCTTGCCCTCAAACACTGTGAGAGTTGTAGAGAAAGTAAAAATAGCCTACGCAGGAACTGTAGCTCTAGCCTACACATTCCAAGTATGTCCATTAAGACAACAACCAGTATCTTAGCCCATTAATTCTGTATTAAGTAAATTAAGTGACAAGGAAAAGCAAAAAAAACAAACAAACCATCACCACAGAAGCTTTGGGGGGAAAAGCGTAACAATACTAAAAGAGCAGCCTGCCTCACTTTGGCTAAGTACAGACTGTCAAAAAGTCCAAGGCTGAATTGATTCAGTCGTTGCAGGTTTCTCTAAACTGCCTAGATTGAACCAAGAAGCAAGTGAACTGACATTCACTTTTCATAATGGAAAGGCAGCCAGATCCGTGCAGTAGCCCATAAGAGTAGCTGGAGAGCACTAGATCAGGCCTCTGGGCCTGCCGGCCACTACAAAGTGCCCCAAGCCCAGTCATGCCCTCTCCTCAGCCTCAAGCCAGCAGAGAGGGCATGGGGGGAATCCCTCCCTGGCTTCTAGCTCAGGTTGGGACGAGTAAAGCCAGGGCTGAGTGACTGGCCCAGCATGGTCAGGGAGAGTAAAGACCCCACTGCAGGCTTCCCCCCTGCCCCTGTTGAGCACAGCTCAGCTGGGAGTCCAGATCCAGGTGGGGCTGGGAGGGCAGCCCACAGTGGGGGCTTTACTCCCCCAACCTGAGCTGGAAGCCAGGAGTTGGGCCAATCACCCAGGCACACACTGTTCTTGGCCAGCAAGCCATCTGAGGAAAGAGTGGACTGTGCCTGGCATGGGTGGGGAGAAGACTGCAGTTGGGGCTTTACTCCCCCCACCTGAGCTGGAAGCCAGCAGCTGGGCTGATCACCTGGTTATGCCGCCTCCTCAGCCAGCAGGACAGCTGGGGGGGGGGGGGGGGGG